AACGCGAGAGTGTCCCTTACAGTATTCCATACTTACCTGACACAGTTTTTTGAAAATCTACGAAAAGGCGTTTAACTTTGTAATTGATAGGATTGTTTAAAATTTTCGTTGTGTTAGCATTTATCGAAGGAGTCTTGCCCAAATTGTGTGTTAGCGCGCTAGATAGCTCTGTGGGCAATTCTTAACTGTCCTGTGTCTGTGCGATTTTATACGATTCGTGACTGTTATGCTCCGATAAATGCACAAAAATTAAAAACAATTCTACAAAACTCATAAAGCGGAACAGGGAGTATTACATACGACGAGCTCTCAGCTGAAATACCATTATGAGTGTTCACTCAGAACATTGTTCCCAAACACTATATGGTCGTCCGCTCCAAACGGTGTAAGTTAATCTTTAGGTTAGTTTTGTAATACAGAGGTCAGTCTGATTTCCAGTAACTTCCTGATTGGTATGGAGTAGGTCGTCGAAGATATGACGTTCATGGGTTAAGCCCAGTCCCTATAAGATTGCGGTGTTAACGCCGTAGCTCTGTGGGACATCTTCGTTGTCACTTGCGTTCGCCTCGACTCTTGCCTAGATTGTGCACTCTAGATATCTGAGTGTGCAAGTTTTAACGATCTTGGGTCTTCGTCTCGCGTCTTGCCTAGATTGTGTGTTAGCGCTCAAGATAGCTGAGTGTGCAAGTGTTAACGATCTTGTGTCTTCGTCTCGAGTCTTGCCTAGATAGTGTGTTAGCCCTAGAGATAGCTGAGTGTGCAAGTGTTAACGATCTTGTGTCTTCGTCTCGAGTCTTGCCTAGATTGTGTGTTAGCCCTCAAGATAGCTGAGTGTGCAAATGTTAACGATCTTGTGTCTTCGTCTCGAGTCTTGCCTAGATTGTGTGTTAGAACCCTAGATAGCTGAGTGTGCAAGTGTTAACGATCTTGTGTCTTCGTCTCGAATCTTGCCTAGATTGTGTGTTAGCCCTCAAGATAGCTGAGTGTGCAAATGTTAACGATCTTGTGTCTTCGTCTCGAGTCTTGCCTAGATAGTGTGTTAGCGCTGAAGATAGCTGAGTGTGCAAATGTTAACGATCTTGTGTCTTCGTCTCGAGTCTTGCCTAGATAGTGTGTTAGCCCTCAAGATAGCTGAGTGTGCAAATGTTAACGATCTTGTGTCTTCGTCTCGAGTCTTGCCTAGATTGTGTGTTAGAACCCTAGATAGCTGAGTGTGCAAATGTGAACGATCTTGTGTCTTCGTCTCGCGTCTTGCCTAGATAGTGTGTTAGCCCTCAAGATAGCTGAGTGTGCAAATGTTAACGATCTTGTGTCTTCGTCTCGAGTCTTGCCTAGATTGTGTGTTAGAACCCTAGATAGCTGAGTGTGCAAATGTGAACGATCTTGTGTCTTCGTCTCGCGTCTCGCCTAGATAGTGTGTTAGCCCTCGAGATAGCTGAGTGTGCAAATGTTAACGATTTTGTGTCTTCGTCTCGAGTCTTGCCTAGATTGTGTGTTAGCGCTCAAGATAGCTGAGTGTGCAAATGTTAACGATCTTGTGTCTTCGTCTCGAGTCTTGCCTAGATTGTGTGTTAGAACCCTAGATAGCTGAGTGTGCAAATGTGAACGATCTTGTGTCTTCGTCTCGCGTCTTGCCTAGAGAGTGTGTTAGCCCTCGAGATAGCTGAGTGTGCAAGTGTTAACGATCTTGTGTCTTCGTCTCGAGTCTTGCCTAGATTGTGTGTTAGCCCTCAAGATAGCTGAGTGTGCAAATGTTAACGATCTCGTGTCTTCGTCTCGAGTCTTGCCTAGATAGTGTGTTAGCGCTGAAGATAGCTGAGTGTGCAAATGTTAACGATCTTGTGTCTTCGTCTCGAGTCTTGCCTAGATAGTGTGTTAGCCCTCAAGATAGCTGAGTGTGCAAATGTTAACCATCTTGTGTCTTCGTCTCGAGTCTTGCCTAGATTGTGTGTTAGAACCCTAGATAGCTGAGTGTGCAAATGTTAACGATCTTGTGTCTTCGTCTCGAGTCTTGCCTAGATAGTGTGTTAGCCCTCAAGATAGCTGAGTGTGCAAATGTTAACGATCTTGTGTCTTCGTCTCGAGTCTTGCCTAGATTGTGTGTTAGAACCCTAGATAGCTGAGTGTGCAAATGTGAACGATCTTGTGTCTTCGTCTCGCGTCTTGCCTAGATAGTGTGTTAGCCCTCAAGATAGCTGAGTGTGCAAATGTTAACCATCTTGTGTCTTCGTCTCGAGTCTTGCCTAGATTGTGTGTTAGAACCCTAGATAGCTGAGTGTGCAAATGTGAACGATCTTGTGTCTTCGTCTCGCGTCTTGCCTAGATAGTGTGTTAGCCCTCGAGATAGCTGAGTGTGCAAATGTTAACGATTTTGTGTCTTCGTCTCGAGTCTTGCCTAGATTGTGTGTTAGCGCTCAAGATAGCTGAGTGTGCAAATGTTAACGATCTTGTGTCTTCGTCTCGAGTCTTGCCTAGATTGTGTGTTAGAACCCTAGATAGCTGAGTGTGCGAGTGTGAACGATCTTGTGTCTTCGTCTCGCGTCTTGCCTAGAGAGTGTGTTAGTCCTCGAGATAGCTGAGTGTGCAAGTGTTAACGATCTTGTGTCTTCGTCTCGAGTCTTGCCTAGATAGTGTGTTAGCCCTCGAGATAGCTGAGTGTGCAAATGTTAACGATCTTGTGTCTTCGTCTCGAGTCTTGCCTAGATTGTGTGTTAGCCCTCGAGATAGCTGAGTGTGCAAGTGTTAACGATCTTGTGTCTTCGTCTCGAGGCTTGCCTAGATTGTGTGTTAGCGCCCTAGATAACTGAGTGTGCGAGTGTTAACGATTTTGTGTCTTCGTTAGGAGATTTGGCATGATTGTGATATTAATGCTCCAGTTCTGTAGACCCTCTTCAAAGTCGTGTGGCTTACCAATATTGTAGTGTTGAATAGCGGACATTACTTCATGGCCATTTGCCTTCATCAAAGGTCTTGTCCAGATTATAGTACGTACGCCCTGACTATGTGGTCAAGTGTCGTCTTCCACAGTCTTGCCCAGGTCAAACGTGGGAAACCAGGCCAACCGTGGTATTCCGTAAAGATTCTTGGTGGGAATAGATCCCCAGAAACCTATGATGGTCGTAAGAGGCGCCCGTGGATGGTCATGCCAGGCGACTTGGTTGATTTCGTGTCATCTTACCACGGAGACGTAGGTTGTTGCTCGAACTATCGATCACTGGATTGTCTGGCCCAGATGCGATTATTTACATGACGCAGCTTGAATATTGCTGAGTGCGGCGTTAAACAACAAACGAACATAATGCATGTAACTAATATATAAATAGATTATACAATCAGAGTTTAACGTGTGAAGTCACGAACTGCCTTTTCAGTCTGTACAAGGAGAGATTACGAGTGTCGATAACAGTGTGACGTTGCCTGTTTCTGCGAAACGAAGGGTCACTCCTGTCTGATAATAAGACTTGCACCCGCTGTGCAAAGTACGGTCTAGACCGTCACGTTTGCGTCCATTAGGCCTTCAGATTAACGCCTATGACTAAGTATTTGGGAATGGGCTCGGATTCGTTACATCCGACACGAAGCTGTTCGTAATATCCGTAGTTGCCTGCATTTATCAGACGTGCAAAGAGTACAATATACATTATTTGCAAAGGTGGTGACGTAGCCCATAGTCAGTATATATAATCACATTCGTGAAACCCCGGTTGAGCTCATTATACAGCTCATCTTTGGACTTACTATATATATAACAAGTGATTTCATCAGGTGTATAAATATTAGATAATATATGTACAAACAACAACAACAAAACAACCAGAGACCAGATATTCATGCTTGTCATTATATATGTGTGAAGCCCATTCCTGGAGTCCCTTTGATAAAGCTGGGATATTGCTAAAAGCGGTGTAAGACCTGATGCTCTCCCTGTTATTTAAATCTTTTATACCACGTGTATGTTATTTACTCAATCCTCGAGCATTCACGACACAAGACGTTATATTAACTGAGGGCAAGGACCATATCAGTGTATCAAGGTGTGCGTGTGCGAGAAAGTTTGGTTTTACGTCGCTTTTAACAGTCTTTCAGTTATTTACTTAATGTGCGAGGCAAGCGCTGCAGGCGTCAGACATTTACCACTTTGCTGAAACCCAAGAGCGCGGTTGTATAGCGGTGGCAAACCTAGAAACATAATCAGGGCGAACCGGGATTCGAAACCTACGATCCCAGCTTTCTGGCACGCCCGACGGACGCAACTCTGCACAGCGAAATGCAGCACCATGCGGCTGGGCCACCCCAGTGTATCCAGGCATTGCACAGAATAAATACAATTGGCTCCTTGGGGAAATATATGACTATTGCCATTCTGTCACATGAAAAAAAGTGATCAACGTGAAAATTAAATATCGTTGTTAATTCAAGCTTAAGCACGGATACATCTCTTTGGAACAGTGAGTGAGTGAGTATAGTTTTACGCCGCTTTAAGCAATATTCCAGCAATGTCACGGCGGGGGACACCAGAAATGGGCTTCAGACATTGTACCCATGTCGGGAATCGAACCCGGGTGTTCGGCGTGACGAGCGAACGCTTTAACCACTAGGCTACCTGACCGCCCCTCTTTGGAAAAGGGGTGCGCATTTTGGATCTGGCAATTCGCTTTCACTAATCGTGTAAAATATTTTGTTGTTATACATATACTGTTAATACCACCTCATTCAAAATGTGTAATTCTTAAATACAGTAAACTACGGTTACTGAGAACTCAAAGGGACCACTAATTTTAGTTCGAACTAACCGTAGTTCGTTATAAGCATATATACAGCATATATACAACAAACGGCCGGGACTAAAAAATAAGTTCGTTATATCGGTCAGTTCGTTATAAGCGTGTTCGTTATGAACGTAGTTTACTATATGCTTCAAAATAGGGTGTGTGCAGCCCACCTCCCTTCACTGCCCCTTGCCTCTTGCCTTGAATAGAACGTGCATGGTTTGATAAGACGAATTTTTTTAGTTGTTAATCTTGAGTTGGCAACAACGCCAAGTGTTCTTTGATAGATAACAGTGAACCTTGTTCAATATGAGACATGACAGGACGTGGTGTGTGCGACAGGCCCCACTTCCCTCTCGACAGTGTTGAGAGTGAGAGAGAGAAAGACAGGTGGGTCTTCATCACACTACGTACGGCCTGAACCCCACAATATATATATATATGTGATGACGTGATAAGGGTGACGGATCAAGAAGCATAACGGTGGCATAGTACATTTCTATATAGACGTAACTTGCCTTTGTCATAGTGCATGGAGCATTTTGATAGTGTGGATTGTTCATGGATGAGTGTGGTGGCGTTTCTTGAACTGGATTTTACTTGAAGACAGAGGACCTTTGTGTTGTCAGTGTTTGTGTTTTACATAGGGCTGAGTTTATATATATTTACACTATCGTTGTAGAAATGGCGACCTCGGTGACTATCTTGGTGATGGGTGTGATCCACCTCCTGCTGGTGTTTGATAGTGGATTGATACAAGCGGCAAATGTAAGTAGTTCCGAAACAACGCTGACATCATCTACGGCAAAAACAACTTCAACCCACCTGTCAACATCATCTTCAGTCAAAGGGACACTGTCCTCAACAACATCGGCATCACCAACAACAGCAAGTTCAACCCAACCGTCAGCATCGACTCCAACCAAAGGGGCTACGCCACCAACAATAAAAACTGCAACAATCCCATCTCCTGGAGCATCTGCGTCTAACACCACTTCAGTCACATCAACAGACAACAGCAGTAGCGTATCCCTAACAACAGGCAACAGCAGTAGCGTATCACTAACAACAGACAACAGCAGTAGCGTATCCCTAACAACAAACAACGGCAGCGTAACGACGGAGACATCGGCCACCACACCGACTACACCGACTAAAACACATACAACCACCCCTCTACCTCCGACGGTAGTGACGCCATCTGCCTTAGCCCAGTCTGAGAAGGACAAGCAACTTGCGTATTCCATCGTGATTTTAATAGCAGTGTCTGTGATTATTATAGGACTAGTGGCCGGGCTCACTGTGGTGTTAAATAACCGTCGGCTGGCTAAACACAAAAAACCAAAGGATGGCGGTATTGAAGAAATACATAGCAGTATTGAAGAAGGGGACCAGGGACAAGTGAACAGTGCATATACTCCTGACATTGAGATGCAAAACCTGACCTAAACTTCGGTTCCTAGCAAAGGTACCTATTTTGACTTTACGTAAAGCTTTCTGATTCTGACACTCTTCATTTGACAAAAACAGTGGAACCTCGTTTAACAGTTTAATGATTAACAAGTGTCTGGATTAGCGAATCGTGGGTATACACAGTAAAGTCCCATATAGACGTTCAAACAGTGAACGAAAGCTGGCGGTGTTTCCAGATTATTTAGTTCAAAGTAGTCACGTTTCACTGTATATAGATAATATCACCCCAGTGTTTTGATATCAAATATATCAACACTTGACAAGCCTCGGAGTTTTACAAGACGCACGTGTCAGATTCTATTTATCATCCAAAGTTATTCCTCCAACTTTTTACAGTTTATCAACAGTAACAGCCAGTGTGTCCTCGAGGTAAAAAGTACAGCCAACCAGCTCGAGGTATCAGTGACGTCATTTGATTATGATGTCATCACAAGTGGTATGCAAAGCATATTGTTGTGCAATTTCATTGTGGCGATGTCCCCAAGGATCAATGGAGTTACGATTGTCTTAGCGCTTTGACTATCGTCCACTTTAAAGTACGGGAGTTATAAGATCGTCTTAGCACTAAGATCGCTTTGTGCAAGTGGACCCAGTGTATTACTATTGTGGATGACTGGGGATTTGCGTGTCTTTTAAACTCAGTCTACATATATGTATATATGGAGAGAGAGAGATAGATAGATAAAATATATATGTTGGACATGAAAATACGACTTTTGTCTTTCGATTCTGGTGTTGATTTCCTTTGGCTTTTTTGGGTTAAACTCGACGATGTTTTCCTGTTTTATAAAACCCTTTATTCTTACAATTTAGGTATACAGTATGCAAATTAGATTATGAAAATGCTCAGTCTCATTGAAATCACATCTTAGTTCTCGCTATTGCTAAACAAAGCTTTGTTTACCGTTTGGAAACGAGGTACAGTCAGTCTTGAATTATATTTATATGATGGACAAAGAATGTAAAGAATATATAATCTACTTGTATGAACACTGTTTATCACCTTGTATGTATGGCCGTTGGTGCCAAAACTGAAATAGTTGACAAAATTCGTATTTGGACAGGATACGGTTTTCATTGAAAAATTCTAAATGTGTGTGAAAGGTCAATGTTAATAAACCGCACGGATACATTCAATTAAGAAAACAGTAGTATGTTATTTCTATGGAAACGTTGCAAACGTTGTTTTTGTAAATTAGTCCTTTTAGCTCACCTGGCCTGAAAGGCAATATGAGCTCATGTCGTCGCAAGTCGTCCGTGCTCGTACTTCCATAAACTTTTTAAAAGTTCAACATCTTCCCCGAAATTCAGCTGAACAGACGTGTATGTGTTGGCTACTAAACAGTTTCTTCAATGCATCAACACTGGAATTTCAATATGACCGCCAGGATCAAGTTTGTTTTTTATTTAATGTCTTGTATTGACTTGAAGGGCCAGAGGCCTGAAACCTGGTGGTGAGACGGAGTCCTTATGAAGTCTGTTCAAAGCATCTTAACAGTGTTCGAAATACCTGCCTGCCCGACCGTCCGAGACGGGTTGATTTCAACTCGGGCTGCCAGATTTTCAAATCCCCCTGCCCGACGGTCGGGTTATATTTCATATGTGAAAATATTCTAAATAATTCCCGATGATAAGCATTAATTCACATGTAAAGATGAATGATAAAATGTAACCAAAAAGAAACCCCGTTAGCTAATCCTGAGAAACATATGATTATAGTGGGCAGGCAGGTTTTGGTCAGGGCTGGCAAGTATTTCAGCTAGCCAGTCCTGTGGTCTGGCTGAAATTTTTGGGAGTTTCATACCCTGATCTTAATCGGAAATCAAATATGTCTGCCAGTGGCCATATTAGAAAATACCATAGAATCACGAGTCATCCATTGTGAACATCTCTTCAGAAACCACTGGGACAATGAAGCTGAAACTTCACATGCTTATTCCTACCAAGTATGAAACCTGACTATGTTTCGCGGTTCGAATCCGACTTGCACCACGGCAGCCATATTGATACAAACGATTCATGTCCATTATTCAGTCATTTTTGTTCAATATATAATGACATTTTGTGAACGTGCAGTTGATAGTTCGACTGAACACATATTTAATTTTTGTGATATTTTTGCAAGATCTGAATTTGTTCAAAAGGTTTGAGTTAGAATTTTGATATGGCCACCAGGCAGATATTTTTTAAGAAACTGGCCATGGCCATTTCAGCTCAATGCGAAATGTAATTTAAAAGCTTTTAAATTTCCTCGAAATGTATTTTTGGCTCTGTAAACATTTTCTCCCCTGAAATTGCCAGAAGATGAACTTTAGCAAATGTTTCTCCTTATGGTGGCATAATAATTTGTTGAAATCATGAGGCAATTTAGACAATAATGGTTAAAGCGTTCGCTTGTCACGCAGAAGACCCGGGTTCGATTCCCGACATGGGTACAATGTGTGAAGCCCATTTCTGGTGTCCCCCGCCGTGATATTGCTAGAATATATTGCTAAAAGCGGCGTAAAACCATACTTACTCACTCACTCACCTTTATGTCGAGCAATATTCCAGCAGCTCCAGCCTTTGGTATCTACGTTTGACAACTTTTGAGATACAATCGAGCATGTTCTTTTGAACAAAGATTTCAAAGACAGTCCTACAACTCTTTCATTGAAAGTTGTTCGTCAAGGTTACAACATTGAAGGATTCAATAAAGCTTTCAAAACCTTCTATGGTAGACATGTGGAGGACATTTCCAAATTTAAAGCACCAGTGACAAAAATGATGTCCAATGCAATTCCCTGTTTTGACTGGTACCATATAGTCCCGTGCGTTTTCAGGTGAACAATTGACATGCCTTTGCGTGTGTTTGTCACAGGTGCCACCGGTGTCATTGTCTTCACTGTTTGATATGAACACATACTCAAGATAGTGTCGAAATCGTGCAGTCGACTGTCATTTTGGCAGAGATTTCTTATGAGTATGGAGAGGGTTTAGTGGCTTTTATTTTACAGATGGAAAAACTGTATGGCATTAGAAAAAAATATTCTCATTGAAATGTACGCGTATATAAGGGATCACAATGCTCTACATTAGTGCATGGATATTCATTCTTGCATATGTATAAACATTGCGAAAATTACAATACTTGTTTCTTATTTTGTTTATACATATGAGGGGCGGTCGGGTAGCCTAGTGGTTAAAGCGATCGCTCGTCACGTCGAAGACCCGGGTTCGATTTCCGACATTGGTACAATGTGTGAAGCCCATTTCTGGTGTCCCCCGCCGTGATATTGCTGGAATATTGCTACAAGCGTCGTAAAACCATACACTTATACTTATCTCGTCTGTATTTATGCAAAATAAATTTGAAAAAAAACAATGCTGACAGCATCTTTTAATAAGTGGATGCCTTCGTCGACTAATGTCGACTGCTATACAAGTAAGCTACAGTGCCGTTGCACTATTTTGTGAAGAAAAAGCTCGTGATATTTCACATATTAAGATTCATGTGGTTGCATTCGGTGACCTTAGTGAAACCTGATGCGTGATCACAATAAATCCATGTCAGTTGTTTGTCGAGAAGGGTGTGGCCGAACCTTATCTACACCATAAGTGTCCTAAACAAAGCGGGTGATCCACACAAGATTGCAACTACTCATTTGTCTTAGTAACGGGTGAGTACATGATAACTGGCCTACCTCGTATATTGTATCATGAATGAAGTCCCCACGACACATGTGCGAGTCTCGTGGAAACTGTTAGTCCTTACATTATATATTATGGTTTACGGACCTGCCGATTTTAAAAATCGAACATTCAGAAAACGATTAAATGAGAATGACAAGGGTTGTTTATATCGTCGATGGTAAAGATCGCTTTGACAATGACATGCAGCTGTCAGATTGTAGAATTATAATATTTATAAAGACCCAAACCAGGCCAAGATTCTACAGATCCAAATCAAACTTTATGATTAATAAATCCTATATATGCGTGGTTTGAATTTTTGCTTTATTTATCATTTCCTTAGAACAATGTATGGTTGTCATATATTTAGCATCTTAGAAAATATCAAACATAATAATTTTTGTAAACCTCGTAAAACTATACTCACTCACTCACTCACTGGCACTCCTTGGTGTAACTGAAACCCACACTCACTCACTGTATTTTATTTCTGGAAGATGGAGTTCAGGGAATAAATGAAAAGCTTTGTTAAAAGGTTCTCAATATGCTATTTATCATACAGATATTATATCTAATTTGAAGTTGTTACATATATTTTTATGTCAAAATACTTAATATGTTATAATATGTTTTAAACATAGAATGCCGTGTATCGTGTTAGTCATCTACTGATTTTCACAATCTTCATAGGTTTATCAAATGTTATATTTGGGATAACACTTTCTTAGTAAAGTACAGATTCTCGTACTTTTTGGGGACGGGACTCAACCCCCAAAAGTACGAGAATCTGTACTTTACTAAGAAAGTGTTATCCCAAATATAACATTTGTTACATTTGACCACTTTCTAAATGGCATTGTGTGTTCATAGTTCATAAGTTTGTATTACTTACTTTATCATTCATTCAAAGGATAATAATTTTCTACCATCATTGTGAAAACAGTTGACACTGAGTCAAATTATATCACTGTGTATCCGTTGGCGGGTGATTAGATCACTGTCATACAATACTAGTTTTAAATATGTACATGCTATGACATAGCCACTTTTTTACCACGTGGTCTGCATAATCTAAGATACGATTAGCGTTATCTCGTGTGTTCATGTGAATGGTATGGGTATTTCATAACCTGTATGTTGTGGGCTTGTAGCAACACGTATAGATAAGAATGTAATGTGTCAAAATGTCTGGTTTCCAGGAAACGTATTTGTAATATTTGAAAACATATGATAAGTTGTAGAGGATCACGAGGGGGGCGTGGGGTTATGTGTTCTACCACGAGTCGGTTTGTTAGGTTTCGTACCACCATTCGTCACCACTCGCCCCTTTCCGTAACCTGCAAGAAGATCGGCTTGTCCCGGAATAACACGAGTTGGTTACGAATGTCGTACCACGTGCCGGAGGCAAGTTGTATAAAACCTAACGAGGGACCCATAAATCCACATGTACCCCGAGTGACGCGGCTACAACGAATCTATCTTACCGGCATGTTTTAGTATGACATTGTAAAGGAATTAAAACAAATTCTCCAAACTTGACAGCTGTTTGTTTGAGCTGAGGTTTGAACTTGTGCTATCGTGTGACTATCTCTGACCCGGAAAAGCGTGAGGCTTTTTGCTTCGAAGCGGGGTATAAGGGATTTATTCTCCCACTGAGAAATCCACGTGAAGCCTGATTCTTCGTGGCGGGGTATAATGGATTTATTCGTCCCCTGACAACATTATTTAACTCCAAGGCGGGATACATCGAATTTTATCAATAACACGTGAACCATTCAGATCTCATCACTCTGACATGGAGGTATGATAATTTCACATAAAAGGTCCTTGTCCAATCTCTTCCACTGACAGGAGTGATCTGTTTGTCACATGTGTTATTATCGGGGGACCTTGTGGTAGCTCCCCTAGTTGTAACTGAGTCGAGTGCTCAAATCCGACGACGAGAGACCCCCTATACCCCAGGGTAAGACGAAGTCGATTGCTCAGATATTTCCCCCGAATATGACGAAGTCGAGTGTTGAAATATTCTTTTTATTTCGTAATATAAAGATCAGACATACATTCTCGTGTGCGTATCCTTGGGATATTACATATATATGTGCTCCCAACTAAACTGCCCGGCAAAAGAGAGTATACATCACTGTATTTCATCACAAAATGAAACAAACAAGAAATTGTTATTCGATAGTGATGCTTTTGGTACGGGTATCACAGGCGATACTACATATATCATATCAATGAGCATCTCACGACAGGTGACGTGTGCACGTGACGTCTCAAGGAACATTGGGTCGCAATTTCACACTACACAGTAATGAGCAGAGTGAAGTGTTCAAGTAGATACTTTCTTTTGCCTGACAGTTTGGGTGTAATTGATATTTCTTTAGTATTTTTTTATTTAATGTGTCTGCTTTTTGAAATCGTACATTATTGTACTATGTTTATTATATATGATTTCCTCATGTGTTT